CAAGTTTGTTCAAGTACAAAAAAAACAAAGCAAATCCTCACATTTGAACCTGGAACCATGTAAATGTCAAATATTTATTTAATATATATGTTTGCCTGTAAAATAGCTTAAGCGATTAACAAACAAGTTGCTGGTCACAGTTGTAAAATATAAGAAAACATCACATTTGAGTTGATTTTCATATGTTTTGAGAGAATTCATTTGCCTCTAAAGTTCAAATGTTCCTCTGAAATTAGGTGAAGTAAAACTATAGTAAAAAGAAATCATTGCAGTGCAAGTGCCTCAAATAGTTTAGTTTGATTTGATCTTATAGTCAAAAAGTATGAGTGAGAAAACATAGTTCAACAAGTACTTTTTCAGGCCAGTATCACATACATACAATGTGGCACAGGGATGCAGACGTCCACAGGATCTGACCAGGCCCGATTCTCTAAGATGAGAAACACAAAACGAAATTAGAGAAAAAGAGAAAACCTGCAGTGAGGTCATTCAAAGACAGTTACCCTCTCCACAAATGAGCGGGTGCGGGCAGAGCCAGAGCAGGAGAAATGAAAACAACACAGTGGATAGAGAGTTGAAATAAAAATACATAGTGTGTGAGAACAGGAAAGATACTTATAGGAAAAAGTAAATAATTGGAACAGGTTGCACAGAATTCTTTCACTGTAAGAAATGACTGAGACAGAGGGATCTACCTGCTCTTACTCATGTGGATTCAGTATCATGCACCTGAATTAGCAGGATTGATTTCAGGGGGTCAGTTGACAGTGCAGGATGTAGCACATACACTGATGACAGATTGGGAGCCTATAACAGGTCTGTATCATTCATTAAAAGGAATTTACTTTCACAGAAGTCGGTTGTATTTGCGGCTGATGTCTTCAAATATATGCTCGCTTTTATCCGAGCATTAACCTCCACCCCCTCCTTCTCAAACACCCAACTACCTGCCCCAAAACCAAGACGCTCATTGTAATTCGTGAATCCTATTAGGATTGGCCCCAGAGTCGGCCTCTGCTTAGCAAATAAATAATGGTAATGATGATGATCCCTCATCTTGTCACTGGGGCTCTCCCCCGGGGGCCTCGCGGTGCAGGTGGAGGGAGCCTCTCTCGGCCTAATTGGTTCCAACCCTGCAGTCTTCTCTCCAGCCTTTTCTCTCACCCTCCCTCCCTCACACACACACACACACACACACACACACACCATCTCTCTCTCTGGGCCCCAGTTCTCAGTCAGTAAACTTGTTTGTCTGTGTGTCATCACCATCTTTATTTTATTCTAACACAAGCAGGAAATCACATGAACACATCAGCACTTTGCAAATTGTTTTGTCCTCACACAGATGGATTAACAGAAGTGAAAGCAAACACACAAAAACATACACACACACACACACACACACACACATTCTTACACCTCTTATACGCCAAAAAGGCGATTGACTCCTTCCAACTGTCAAGAGTGTCATGAAGTGACTGTTGGCATGTTATTACAGTGCAGATCCAGTAGAGGGCTCTATCACTGTTTGCACAGGTGGGATTAGGTGGAGTCGAGGGCTGACTGGATGTGACCACAGCCCCCACACTGGTGGTGTTGTAATGTCGCAGACTGGTTCCTACAATAAAACCACTTACATGGAAGTTTTCTTTGAAATCTGAAGACATCACAAGATGTTTGCATGTCTGTTTCTTATACATTTTTCTTCCAGGTGAGTCATGTTCGACTTCACATGCACCGGAAACAGAGGAGCTCTCTCACCTCACTGTCTTGAAAGTGTTGTTTCTTGCAGGATATGAAGAAAAAAATCCCAGTTGCATGTTGTTCCCAAGATGTTAAAAAACAGTACACAAACGTTCATGGCTATTAACGCCCCAACAACTGGAAGTTCAATGTCACACTGTATGAAAGCTGCCTCGTCAGCATATAAAGTGCCAAATGAATAGAGAAGCGGAATAGAAGAAGAAATGAGTGTGTTCATTACAGACAAGTCTGTTTTGGCTGGTGTTGGTGGGTTTTTTGACCAGTGGAGAAAGGGCTTTAGTGAGAACATTCATTGGGATAATGCATTTCCATTTCCATCCTCCTTACCCAAACTTTAACCTCACAATTAAAAGCCCAACCCGGATTCTAACCCTGACATCTGTCCTAAGGCTGAGCATTCCAAGGAACCAGACAATGTTGTGTTCCTGGATCTTTTCTTCATCCAGCCCCTGAACCTAATTCTAACAATCACATCTTTATTTATATAACACTTCTCAAAACAAAATTACCGAGAGCTTCACACGTTAAAAACACAAATATACATCAAATCACAAAAAAACACAGTCATAATAGAAAAAAGAATAAAAACATTTAACATGTGACAGAAATGTAAGCATGAACAAACATTACAATTATAAAAACTATAAAATCAGGGAATGTAGTACATTCCCAAGTCTTAACCCTTAAATAGTGAGGACCAGCCAAAATGTCTATGCTCAAAATGGTCCTCATTAAGATATAAGTACACACACACACACACACACACACACAC